AATACACAATTTTATTATAGTTTAGCAATGGCCAAAAAAATACATCCAACATTTAAAGAACCAAAATCAGTGCACTTCATCTCCACTTTTATATTGTATGTATGTTAGACGCTAAAGAATGAAAATTAAAGTATAAAATTTCAAAATTAATTCTCCGCGCGTAGCGCGGAAAACGATCTAGTATATTATAATAATAGGGAAGGGTGTTTTTTTTAAGTTAGATACTAATTATGATTTTTTTCATGCCTATTCCTTCCAATTTCCCATGAAATTTAAACTCCACTAAATTAAAAAGTTTGGTGTTAAAAAAAGAGAAATTAGCACTCATATACAAGAATAATGACATAATTTGCAGATATGGAAAATTTACTTTATTGCTGATCTGTTTTTTTTTTAATGGTGGTTTTACCCTTACAATTATTATAAACAACCTATAACCTATATGTGATTCAAGACCCTACATCTCCTACATTACACGTGATTATGCTAGTTGAAGAAAGAGTTCTTCCTTGTTCACTATAATCGATTTTCTCTTCAACCATGTGACCAAAGTACTTTGTTTTCTCCGTCATATACTTTGTTTCAATGTGTTTACACTCCATAGTGATTCTGATTACTTCGTCTTCCCCAACTTTTTTGAATCATCGTAAAATTATCATGATTTTGTATACAGTCTTTTCATCGTAAGTTCATGATCATTATCTCTGTTCAATTAACTTATCTTGTTCAACCTTAGCAGATTCGAGTTCCCAGTTCTTCTTCGTGTCAAGCTTCACTTGCCATCGTCCGCTACCGCCTCCGACTCACTCTGAAGATGAGCTCCAACTTCTTCCGTTATGCTCGGAATCAAGCCTCACAGTCGTGCTCATCCTTGCCGTCGCCATCAAGTTCCAGATCCGGCGAAGATAAAGGTTGATCTCTCCAATGGTGATTTTATGTGTTTTTGCACGACAAGTCCCTGACGTTCTAGTTCTTTTCAATTTGACCCAAATGTTTTAGATTTATATAAATATTCTCGCGAATCAATCCCAAATCATTCAATCGTACGATTTAGCTCTTCATGTATTTGCACAATAATACCCCGTTTCTTGATGGTTTTCAAATCGCCACAACATCAATTACTCAATATATCTTTTGTTTTGGATTTGTATTGTTAACCGGTCATTAATTAGTATATATTATCGGCTAACTATAATAATGTTGAGATAATTAATATATTTACCGGCTAATTAGAACGAAAAGGTCAAGTAAAATCTTAACCGGCTAAATAACCATTTTAAACTTAAGTATTGTTATTTGTTAATTTTATGTTTAGTCGAACATGTAAACCTAATCATATGTTATGTGATCGGTTAGAGAGTTATTTTTTTGTTTATCTGAATTAATTCATAATAACAACCATCAGTTGATCAATTAGCCGGTAAATATAAATTATATACCAGCTAAAACGTAAAGTAACTGGATAAATCATTGTGTCCTTGAAACAGTTACATATCCCATCATCTTCGCCCTCATGAATCACCCCACAGTCATGAATCACAACATCCTGAGTTGATATAGAGGCTGAGGTAGAGGCAACAGTAGATCTGCAAACGAAATGGTCCCGGATCTGAAGAACAAAGGACCCAAGGTGCCAGTGAAGACTTGATAACTAGGGTGCGGCTGGGAATATCCGGCGAGGCACAACCAACAAAGACGACGGCATGACCGGAAGAAACCAGAGAACACAAAGAGATTAGCCATGACGAAACATATATTGAAGAGAAGAATGAATGAGGAGGTACGAGATCCTCGAAATCGAGGCCGGCGGTCAAAGATTATATCAGTGGACGAACCTCGAAAAATGAGTTTGAGAGTTTTCGGCCAGCAGCTATTGATTTTCTTAGTTTTGTAGTACACGTGAGAAGTAAAGAGATGATATCAAATAAAATAAAAACAAATTATATAACAAAGAGAAACAATATATAATACTCCCTCCGTTTTATTTTAATTGTCATTCTACATTTTCGCACACAGATTAAGAAAACATTTAATTTTACATATTTTCAAGAAAAAAACACAATTACCTATACACTTAACCACTTTTTGACCAATAGAAAAATAGAATATCTTATAAAATTAATAAATTTTGTCTCGAAACTTGAAAACGACATTTATTTTGAAACAAATTTTTTTCTCCAGAATGACAATTAATTCGAAACGGAGGGAGTATAACGTAAGCCATAAAATAGATGTAAGAAAGAGAAAGGACAAAAATGTTATTTTACCTTCTTTCTCTCTCCACTTTTGTCTGATTTTCTATCTTTGCAAATTATCAACTTAATTGATATTTTCTGTGCAAATCGCTCTACAAAAAAAGAAGCTCATAAACAGTTTATTCTTCTCCTCGTTTCCATTTTCCTAATTAACTCTCTATGTTATCCGCTCAAGACAATTCACTGCTTCATCTTCTTTCCTTCTTAGCATTGTCTTATTTTCTTTCTAGTTTTTGTGGGGAACTTGTGTCTATCTCGCCGTAGATCTGGTTGGGGCTCGGAAGCGATGGTGGCTGGAATGAGGGGTTGTGATGGAGTTCAAGACGGCATCAGATCTACAGTTATTCACCTCCCTTCTCACTGCTCCGTCGTCTTTTGGGTTTGGTTTTGATGAGCTCGCGGAAAAAGTGCAGATCTTCACCAGTTATCATCCCTGTCCGGAATCAATCCCCGTAAGAGAATACATACCAATTTTCAGATTTAAAACATTCTAATTAAGTCAAGTTTCAAATTAGTGGTTATGGTTTCAATTTCTTTTTTACTTTTACTTACAGTTTGTTCTTTTTATTCTGAAAACACCAACTCCCAGATTTTTGTAGACGCTTCAAGTTTATTACATTTCGTTTATATATGGTTCCATGGATTTATTAGTGTCTTGTACAGGAACAAGAGATAAAATAAACGGTGGTGGTCCTCGTTGAGTTAGCAAGTGTATATATCATCAGTGTTACGAATTGGAAAATGATATCCTCTTCCTCATGCAGTACAAACCTTATCCTTGTACCGTGAGTGTGAACATAAATCTGTCGATTTTAGGAGTTATGTCTTATTGTTTTACCTATGTATATGTGAATTGTTCTGAGATTTATGCTTCTCTAATAATCTCATGATTTTCAGGCTCTTCTTTAAGCAATTGTGCTAAGTTGCTAAAATAAAAGTGAAAGTTTGGCTTATGTGACTTATCAAAAAAGTTTGGCTTATGTGTTATAAGTATCACTGTCTAATATAGAATGTTTGAGTAAATCGTAAGTCAGAACTTGTTAAGAATTCTTTGTAGGTAAAGTACTTCACTGCATTTTCCTTACACAATCATCATTTTCTAGGTGAATTAACTTATCAAGATGGAGTGAACTTATGAAAGAAGAGGGAGAGTTGGCTGATGCTGATATTGCAAGATGTTACTACGACTGGTTGCAGCAAGGAATTCATGTGGTCACTACGACTCAGGACAGATCAGGTAAAGTGTTAAATACTTGCTTAAATCATTTTTCATTCGGAAGCTTCAAATTTGTTCTTGTTGAGGATCCATGGTTCGTTGGTCAGAGAAACTAGTTGGTAACACTCTTTCCTGTGAATGCAGTATCTAAAGATAAGATATCTCGAAAGAAAATCGTACACCTATGAAGCAACGACGGTGGGGAGCAGCATCGATGGTCGCCAACGGCGGTGGTGGTCGTTGATACCGCCAAGGCATAACACCTAATAATATTTACGTTTTAAGTTGGTTCTTTTATTTTGATTTTATTGTATAACAAAGTATTATTTCAAATAAAATTATTTGTTTGATTTTTTTTTATTCTTTAAAATTTGTTATTTAATTATTTTAATTCTACTGTATTACAAAATAAATATTTTTTTGGTATTCTTTTTTTTTTAATTATTATTGAATAGCCACTAATTGCTACCTAAAAGATTGTGTCTATCAAAAAAAACATAATTTGTGGAAGAAATAGTCACAAATACATTAGTCTCTATTTGTTGGTATGGCCACAAAATTGTTGTTGTGGCTATGTTGTAGAAAGACATCCACATATAGCAACAAATGGACAATAATCACAAGCCTACGCTACAAATTATTCTTGTAACTAATTGTAGCTAACGATCAAATAGCTACGAAAATTTGATATTAGTTACAAATTTTTTTGTGGCTATTAACAATATTTCTTGTAGTGAAACTATTCGATTAAATTCGAATTAAAAGTCAATGAAAATGTTTATAATATCATATTTTTAATATTATATATATGTTTAGCTTAATCATATTCATCATTAATTTTAAAGAGATAAAAAACATTTAATGTTTTTAAGATTAATCGATCTAGACTTGAAGATTTAGATTTAAGAGACAGTAACGATGAAACTAAAACTAGAATGTGTGACTTTTCGTTATGTATGTGATTTATGACTACTGTATATGATTTACCCTACTTTTCATTGTCATATCAGTCAAATAATGTTTTTTTTTTGCTAAGTTCATATAATTTTATATGTATGTGATTTATAGAGTTTATGACTATTTTTAGGGGTGACGAAAAAATTGAACGTACACAAGCCAAGGCAAACCAAAATCTACACCTAAACTATTGATTAAAGTTTTGATTTTAAAATCAAACCGGTCAACCAATATACTTATTTAAAATCAAACCAGTCAACCAATATACTTATTTAATAAAATTAATGACAGTAATAATATAAAATTTTGAGCATTTTTATCACGAATCCATGTTAAATTTATAATTAAATCATCTAACTTTTTGATATAAAACAGATTGGTTCAGTGATAATTATATAAACAAACATTTGGATACACCATTTAAATAATTTTTGTTTTTGTTTTATTGTAAAAGCGACACATGGGCCCAGATTAAATTATTCTTTAATGAAATATAGTAAGAAACTCGGCCCATGAGTGCCAGACGGCAGCCATTTTTTTTGCTTCGTAGGGTTTGTATATATACAAGTTTCCTAATGTGTTGACACTTGACAGTATCATCTCTCCTCCTTAAGACGATCCGATTTGTTCCGAGGAATCCGGCACGATTCGCGCAAGGTATGATTCTTTAACTGTCTTTATTATCTAAATCTGATAACGAGTAAGTTTACTTTAGCTTGAAATAATAATATTCCTGCTAGATCTCTGATTCCTTTTTCTTTTGTTCACGAGATCTCTGATTCCTAGCTAGGACTAGAAAAAAATGAAAGCTTTAGAGAATCACTGATTTGATGTTTTGTTGTTGGGTAAATAAGTCTGTTTGATATCTTGTCTCCTTTGATTATTTTGGGGGTATAAATGAAAATCATTAATTTGTTATACTGTTTTTGTGTTTAGTTTAGGTATCATGGATGATCTAAATGCTCTGAGACAACTAGCCAAAGAGAGAGTGGACGACATGAATATGCATGTGGAAACTTTAGTCACATTTGTGCAGGGGGCTCTCACTATTCAACAGCTCGACCGCGTCATTGAGCTTATGCATAACTGCTCTGTGAATGCCGATTTCATCCTTAACCAGAAGCCGCCACCGCAGCCAGTTGAGGTAGTGTCCGATAACATGGAGGTGGAATCGGAATCCACCGACTAAGTTCTTCTCTTTTTTTATTATAATAATAATAATAAATGTTTGACTGTTGTAAAACTGTATCTCTCTTCAGACTTTTATGTGATTGAAAATAAAATCTTATTATGTATAAGATGTAGTTGATTAAGACATTTATTATCCGGTTGACAAAAAAAAAGACATTAATTATCCTTTGTGTTACTTATCTGGAATATGTACAATTTCCATAATTGAAAATAAAAATCTTATTATATATAAGACGTTGTTGATTAAGACATCTATTATCCTTAAGGTAAATTTGTGTTACTTAATCTGGAATATGTGCAATTTCTATAATTTGAGTTTCAACTAAATAAAAAGTCGGTTAAATTAAAATATAATTTAATAAATCGGCGAATTTGAAGTCTCTCAATGGTTGGAATCCAAATCGGGATCGGAGAGGAACGGGAACGGTGGCATCTCTCCTTCTCCTCCGTCGCGCCGTGTTACACGGAGAAGCTGAAATCCGATGATTACCGAAAGAGAACCGCCGGAGAGAGGAAGTTTCTTTGTCGACGAATCTGCGGTCGAGAAGGCTTGCGGCGGTTCGAAGAAAGGAAATGGTGTGGTCCCGGCGGAGTATCCCGGCGTTGAGGTAAAGAAGGAGCCACAGGCTCTGCGTCGTGACGAGATCAGAGAAAATGTGTTCAGGCCATCTCGAAGACATTGCAGAGACATCTCTAAGCAAGTCACCAGGTGTTCGACGAATTGCCTCGCACAAAACTTCAGTAAGAAAGTTATGTTCTTAGCTTCTCAATGATCTAGAATGTATGCTGTGTTGGTTATCTTCCCTTGACTGTGTCTTGTGAGAATGAATGCTGATTGACACAGAGTATCCATTTCTTAGTGACATGTTCTTGCCTGATATCAAAACTAACAGGGTAAGTTCATATAAATATATATATATATATATATAAAGTGATAGAGGGGTTCCATTTTGAGAGACATTGATAAATGAATCGGGTAGTATGAATGCTTTGTAGTTAAGTCTAATGCAGATGGCAGAGTAAATATCATATCTTTGTCTTGTTTTATTCCTTTTTAGCTTGCCAAATCAAAATAAACCATAAAAAAACTGAGACTCATCATCATGGCTCTAGGAGAAAGCAGCAAAACCTGCAGTTTTTAGCTGTATATGAATATTAGTTTCTGAAAATTTTCGTAATTACAACGAAAATGTGAAACTGTCACAAATGTCTGGACTGATCTTTGGTTGAGGCCAATGGCTTCCGTATGTGCGACGTTGACCACCCTAAACACCAAAGAATCAGCTCGAATTATGTTTATTCAGGAGAGACATATCTCAGACGTGGTCTAGAAGATACTCGGTAGTCTCCAGTGAAGAAGTGGTGCAAGTTTAACCTAAACCCAATAAGCTCAATAGGCTTAGCATTCAGAGTTTCAAATCCAAAAGATTTAAGATAACCTATAAAATGCGATTGCTGCTGCTCTCTCTCTTCTTTTCATTTTTATAAAATGTGTTTCTTTTTTTTGTAAATTTTCTTTATTCTTTATTTGCATGCGCTTACTTTGGAGAAGACTCTCACCGTTTATGCTTTTCTACAGCTAAGCCAAATACTCATTTCGTCGGTTTTATTGCAATATTTTAATTGTTTCTTTGGAGACATTAAGAAAAAAAGATTGATTCAAAATCAAAACTTAATCACCATCACATCACTTTTTGATCAGAAAAAAAAATCATCATCACATCACATGTATTGCTGGTCTGAGTAATAAGAAAACGAAGAGTAATGTTGGAAGTGGGCGCCTTTTGTTTCCAAAACGTAGATTCATGTGAGATCAACTTTTCCACTGATGCATCACAAATCATATACAATATTGATATCGCAGTGTCAAAAAAAAAAAATTGATATCAAATTCAATTTAATGAAAATGTGATACTCAAATTTCGAACGTTAATCACCCGCGTGTTTACTATACTCAACTTTATGGTATACTTGGTTTACCTCTCGGTCATTGTAAAAAAATGATTTTATTTACTTCTTGGTCATTAAATTTCAACTGAACTTTTATCCATGTATGAAATTTTGATCGTACGTTTAAAAAGTTTAAAACCTATCACGTATCTTACAAAGAAACTATCCACATCAGTTCATAAAATCGTCCAACTAGAGAGCATTGTTTTGTCACGTCAACTTTATTAAGTACAATCAAATTTTTAATCTAAAAATCAAAGTGGCCCATATCAATCTTACCTCTCCTAACGCTTAAGACGCCTACCAGAATCATTCGACTCTTCAATTTCCTTATCGTTTCACGTCTCTGTAAATCGACGTTATCACCACCACTCTTGACCATTCAATGGTGTTCTTTACTCCTTCGTAGTTTCTTTCCACCTCCTATTTGTTTCTTCTTTCATTTAAACACTTTCACTGAATCTATGCAATCGAAATCGATTACAGAAGATAAATGTATGGCCATGAACTCTGTTAGATCCACCAGGAAGTCTCCCGTCTCCACCGGAAATTCTCAATGGGCTTGATTTTGGTATGTAATGGTGACCTCAAGTCTTCCATTGCTTTATCTATCTTCTGATATCTAAATAAAAATATGATTTTCGGTTTGTCTCTATAAAAACGTGTATGGTCCAAGGTAGCCACCATGGCAGAGGCGTTGTATGCCAGATTCTTTGTTGCACCAGTTTGTTTATGTCCTTACATGGCTGTTTTTTTTTGTTATTGGTGGCTGTTATTGGAATCTTCACCACCAGCTGACGTTTACTCTTACGCACAGGTTACTTTGAACCTTTGGGTTGGTTAGAGCTGTCAAATGGGCCGCCCAGAGCCCATTTGGACTTGACCATTTAGACCATTTCAGTTTTTGGGCAGTAATGGGTGGTCCATATTGGACAGTGGTCCAAAAAGTGCCCAAGACCACTAAAGCCCATGTCCAAATGGACAAACCATGGACACCCAAATGACCAAAACCATTTCCCGCCCAAATCGTAAAATCACGTTTCCCGCCTAAATCGTAAAATCATGTTTCCCACCAAAACTGTAAAATCACGTTTTTCCGCCCAAATCGTAAAATCACGTTTCCCGCCAAAACTGTAAAATTATGTTTTCTCGCCAAAACTGTGGAATCACGTTTTCCCGCCAAAACCGGAAAATCACGTTTTCCCGCCAAAATCGAAAAATCACGTTTTCCCGCCAAAACCAGAAAATCACGTTTTCCCGCCAAAACCGAAAATTCACGTTTTCCCGCCAAAACCGGAAAATTATGTTTTCCCGCCGAAACTGTAAAATTACGTTTTCCCGCCAAAAACAATAAAATTACGTTTTCCCGCCAAAACCGAAAATCACGTTTTCCCACCAAAAATGAGAAATTACGTTTTCCGACAAAAACCGTAAAATTATATTTTCTGTCAAAATTGTGAAACTACTTTTTTTTTCTATCAAAAACCGTAAAATCTTGTTTTTTCACAAAAAGTTTTTGTCAAAAACTATGTTTTAAATAAAAATTATGAAATTGTGTGTTTTGGAGGCCCATGGACACCCATTGTCCATTTGGTCTTTGACCAGTTAGACCATAGACCAATTGGGTTTTTATACAGTTGGACCATATATGAATTGGGCGCGTCCATAGCCCGCCCATGGTCGGCCCGCCCAATTGACACCTCTAGGGTTGGTTACGCATATTTTCATTTGTGTAAGGTAGCTAATTTCATCTATTTTCTTAATGCCTTTGTGTAAGGTTGCTAATGATCTAGGTGTACCAGAACCATCATTGATCAATGTATGCTAACACCAAACTGATAAGACTGAATTGGTATCAAGTAGCATTTATTTTGTAGATATGCAATCACTCAGTTGATGTATATGCTTGGTTTTATTCCAGGAAGAGAGAATATCCCTTTGCCATGGTTCGATTGATTACGGATAAACGTTTTTAAGTGTTACTGAACGCGTAAGCTTAAAGTTAAAGAATTGTTCAAGACTCTCCTCTTTCATCTGCTATTTGTTTATTAGTCTCTCTTTAAGCGCATTCTGTAAAGCATTTTTGATTTGTTGATTGTCAGGAGGAAAAAGCCTGCTATATCGATGACGATTGTGATTTTAGAGAAAGACAAAAACAAATTTGAACTTGGATTCAGCAGGTGGTAGCCAACAAGATGATACCATCGTTGAGAGATGTAATCCATTGAGAGATGAGATACAAGAAACTCATGATTTGATTTAAAAGATGGCATATAAGAAAGTAGAGGCTGAGTAGAAGAGTTAACTTTTGTGTTATTGCCATTTGTTTGTCTTTCTATATTTTGAAGCTCTGCAATACAAACTGCTTTTACTCTGTTATTTTTACCTTTTCACTACAAGAAAAGACCGCAATTCTGACGGCTATTCCGACGGAAAATGTATTTCTCGGAAAATTCCAAGGATATTCCGAGGAAACCCAAATTTAAGGTTTCCTCGGAATATACCGATGGAATTCCGAGGAAACTCGGCTCCTCGGAAAAAACTGACGAAATTCCGAGGACATTCCGGAGAAATTCTGAGGAAACCCAAATTTTGGATTTCGTCGGAATTTCCACGGAATATCTCGACGAAATTCCGAGGAAACCCGG